GCAAGGAATTAGGTGCTAATTAGGTGCTGCAAGTATACGCAGTAACAAGGCGCCCCTAATAAAAATAAAGTTGTTATTCAGAACATAGCAGATGCAAAATTCAGATTTCCTGAAAATCTAAATAGAATCAAAATTGCTTTCAGAAAAAGTCCAAATTAGGGGCTTTTTAGGTGCTAATTAAGTACTAAATTGAAAAATTAGGTGCTCTAAAATTTTCACTGCAACGAACTGTTGAAATTTGAGTTGCTAGCAAAACGTCTCGCTAGCAACGCAATGAAAATATTAGATATACGATAAATATTAATAGCAAGGAATTAGGTGCTAATTAGGTGCTGCAAGTATACGCAGTAACAAGGCGCCCCTAATAAAAATAAAGTCGTTATTCAGAACATAGCAGATGCAAAATTCAGATTTCCTGAAAATCAAAATAGAATCAAAATTGCTTTCAGAAAAAGTCCAAATTAGGGCTTTTTAGGTGCTAATTAAGTGCCAAGTTTAAAAATTAGTTGCTCCAATATTTTCACCGCAACGAACCATTGAAATTTGCGTTGCTGGCAAAACGTATCGCTAGCAACGCTGATGACGTTACTAGATATACGATAAATATTAATAGCAAGGAATTATGTGCTAATTAAGTACTGCAGATCGATTATCGAAACCCGATACAGATTACGATATTATTCTGGGAATTATGGGGTCCACGACCACCATTACCATACTATAATGTATGTACAGTATTTTCCTAAAAATTAAGTGCTAATTAGGTGCTGAAAGATTATTGAGGTCGCATGTAGATGACGGTAATATTCTGGAAATTATCGGATTTAAAACCACCATTACCTTACTATAAGATATGATCGGCATTTTTTGTTTTTCAGATTTAATATAATTATATTTGTAAATGGTTGAAAATTGGTTGAAAATTATATTAAATTATATTATAGATTTATAGTATTATTTAATATAATTTTCAACCAAATAAATGTTACAATTCTTATTTTTAGACATGTGAAGCCTAAACTTTAGTATACTCGGAAAGGATATTTTCTTTCCAGTAAATTGCATTGTAATAAATAGCGCAATCTACAACGTTCTATAGTTATAAAAATATATCGTTAGTAAAATACCTTTTCCATTCCACTTGTATTTGTAATCAGATATTAGTATACAAGATATTGACATTTTAATATGGCCTACTATAGTAGGTCACGCGTGTATTGAAGTAAAAAAAGGTAGTGTAAAGAATCAATATGCATATGCGTTGTCACCAAAAATATGTTCTCCGATTATCTACGCTCATCATACAAAACTCAGCAGCATTAAGCCTCTGCTTTTTTATAGGATAATGGTGACAAACGAACACACAGTCCACCTGATGGTAAGTGGTCGCTGTGGCCCATAGACATCTGCATCTATCTTCGATTACGGATCAAAATGCAGATGCGTTGTCACCCGTGATGAATAAAATGGAATGCCTCTTTTCCAGTAAAATGGGTCTCCGGTTCTCTACACTCATCATACGAAACACAACATTAAGCTGCTATTTTACGCTGGTATTCTGTGAGAGCGTGGTCCTTCCCCGGTCGAGCCGACCCGTCGTGCTACAACTATATAAGTAAAATAGCTGCAGCATGGCCCTACCACGTAAAATTTTATGCTGGTATTCAAATTTAAGCTAGTATAATTACAAAACTGTGAGGCATTCCATCTTCGTCGTCAGAGTTGACAACGCGTCTGTGTTCTTTTTATTTCAAGCTGTTTATCAGTGTCTTAACCCTCACAGAAATAAGAAGAGGCTCCTGCCCAACATCAGCATCATCATTATAATCATTACAGCCCTTCATAAGTCCACTACTGAACATAGGCCTCCCCCAAAGAATGCCACAAAGCACGGTCCTGAGCCACCTGCATCCATCGACTTCTTGCATATCTTACCAGATCATCACTCCATCTAGTGGGGGGACGCCCTACACTTCGCCTGCCGGTACGAGGCTGCCACTCGAGAACCTTTCTTCCCCATCGATTGTCCGTTCTTCGAGCTATATGGCCGGCCCATTGCCACTTCAGCTAACTAATCCGTTGGGCTATGTCGGTCACTCTGGTTCTACTGCGGATATCCTCATTTCTCTGAGTTAATCACGCAGAGAAACTCCGAGCATAGCCCTCTCCATAGCTCGCTGAGCGACCTTGAGCTTCCTCATTCGGCCAGCAGTGAAGGACCACGTCTCAGTTCCATATGTCATCACTGGCAACACGCACTGGGTGTACAGTCTCGTTTTCAAGTTTTGAGGTATACCTGACGAAAAGATGTGCCGTAATTTCCCGAACGCTGTCCAACCGAGTTGAATCCGTCGATTGACCTCTCGGTCGACGTTGGACTTACCTAGTCGGACTATTTGTCCCAGGTGAACATACTCGTCAACAACTTCGAGCTTAGTGCTCCCAACAACTACTGGCATAGGTCTGACATGGACATTAAACATGATCTTTGTTTTGTCCATGTTCATCTTAAGACCTATCCGTTGGGAAACACTATTGAGGTCATTGAGCATAGTGCTTAAGTCCTCCAGCGATTCTGCCATAAGAACTATATCGTCGGCAAATCGAAGGTGAGTGATGTACTCGCCATTGATGTTGATACCGTATCCTTTCCAGTCCAGAAGCTTGAAAACATCTTCCAATGCAGCGGTAAAGAGTTTCGGGGATATGACGTCACCCTGTCTTACACTTCTCTGCAATTGGATAGGTTTCGTACTCTGGTTCTGTACTCGGATAGCCATCGTAGCCCTACTGTACAAGCACTTCAACACTTCGATATACCGACAGGTAACTTGGCATCGCTGAAGGGACTGCAGCACCGCCCAAATTTCGACGGAATCAAAGGCTTTCTCATAGTCCACATACGCCAGACATAGTGGCAAATTGTACTCTTCGGACTTCTGTACAATTTGCCGAAGGGTATATATGTGGTCTATGGTGCTAAAGCCTTTTCGGAAACCGGCTTGTTCGGGAGGCTGGAAGTCGTAAAGTCTGCGCGCGAGACGATTCGTAATGACTCTCGAAAACAGCACGTAGACGCGGCTCAGAAGGGAAATCGGTCTGTAGTTCTTCAAGAGAGCGTTGTCGCCTTTCTTGAAGAACAAGACCACCGCACTTCTGCTCCACGCCTCCGGTGTAATGCCACCATGGAGGACGGAATTATAGAGCTTCTAAAGGACTTTAAGTACCGGTTTTCCACCCGCTTTCAGAAGCTCCGCTGTAATTCCATCCTCGCCTGGGGCCTTGCCTTTTGTAAGGTGCTGGAGAGCTATTCTAATCTCGCTCAGACTGACATCCGGGATATCATCGGAATAATGTCGGATAAGACTCGCCAAACAGTGGTACCAATATTTGACGAATTTTTTTTTAACTAAGTATATTCTTAAATTCTGCGATGTTAAAAGATCAACAACTCTATATTGTCTCGTAAGTGTCCCATGAGGTAACGGAGGAAATGAAACCAGGAGATGGACAGCAGAATTTTCATGATAATAACTCAAAATTATAAGAAACTGCGGTTGCCAACCCACTTACCAAGCATGGCAACTAGAGAATACTCACTATGATGCAATCTATGGGCTAGGCCTTTGTCCATTAGTGAAATTTTACAATCTATAATGGATATACTTAAAACTGGAAGACCATCAACTGCCAAGTCAGTTGGTGATTATTATTTTCATGTTAATATTTTCGCGTTCTTTCTTCCTTTTGTCAAAAATTCATCAATCTTATTTTGTAACTTGCGGCCGTAATTTGTAATATGCGCGTCAGCCCGCGTCTCCTTCCATATGAATGGACACAAGGAACTAATCTTGTTACACTGGTATCTTTTTCATGTCACCGCCTTTTGTAAATTTATTTTGTGCCATTTATTGGAAATACAATGGAGGTTGAAAATCCTATAATCAGCGAGATCAGTTCAGGTCAATGATTGAAAGTTTCCAAAAAAACTTAGATAAACCGGTATTTACCAGTTCTAATAACAGAATCATAACCGAAACCGTAACATAAATAAGATCCATTTTATATATTTTCTACTGAAGTGAGTGAAAGTAAGGGTAGATACAATAATAGGTTATATGCACCAGCAAATTGTCTAAAAGTTACAAAAAGAAATGCTTCTGCAAAGTCGATAAGAATTTATAATAAATTACCTGATAATTTAAAGCGTAAAAGTTTATTGTCATTTAAGAAATCTGTTTTGGCATTGTTGCTCACTAAATGTTATTATTCTGTAGAAGAGTTCTCAAACGACAACGACCTACATACGAGTAATAATGAATGATAATTTTAGAATATGATTTATTACGTAATTACAAGATTCCAACGTTTAAAAAAAAATGTTTTTGATATTATTTTATATAAAATTTGACTTATACATTTAACTAATTAATAAAATTGATGTTAAAATAGAAAGAAATTAATGAAAATTGGATATGTAACATTATATAATTATTAACATAAGAATAAAAATTAATATATGACATTGACCTATAATAATAATCTTACTTGACATAATAATACTTACTTATATATTTTGATGGCATTTTCTGACACTGTGGCATAATAAATTAATTATCAAATCAACTAAATAATATTAAATAATTTTATATTTTGTTAAATTAATATATGTTGTTAAATTCGATAAGTGTTGTTGCTTAGGTTACTTGACCATTAATACTCGTATTTGCACACCACTAAGGTAGAATATGTAGAACGAATTATACTCAAACACCATTGTACAGCCATATTCTTGCAAATAAAGATTATTATTATTATTATTGGGGTTATCTATAAAGTTTTCTCATCTGGTTGGGCTGTTTAAATATATAATTATAAACGAACTATATAAACATACATAAATATCAATAAAATAGTATAAATACATAAAAAATACATAAATATATAAAAAAACCCAACCAGATGGAAGCCCTCGGCAGGGGAGACCAAACGGCCGAGGGTTAGGGGGAAAGGCTAAGAAACCGGCGGACGATGCGGGCGGTATCGAGGAGCACCGCCTTCTGCATTTGAGCTTGAAGCGGTCCGTCACGGAGTCCCAGTCGCCTCAGATGACCCGAGAGGCTAACTGGGATTAACCCGTTCGCAGAAACGACCACAGGAATAATTTCGGCCGGCAGACCACCCCACATGTCGGTCACCTCGTGAGCCAGGTCCAGATATTTTGTCACCTTATCTGTTTCGGCTTTCACGAGGTTCTCGTCATAAGGAATGGTAATGTCGACCAAAAAGATCCTTGACTGTGCCCGGTCCATCAGCACAATATCAGGCTTATTCGCAAGAATAGTCCTGTCTGTGATGATGGCCCGGTCCCAGTAGAGCCTGGTGCGGTCATTTTCGAGCACGGCTTCCGGCAAGTACTTATAATACGGCAGTTTCCGATCTACGAGGCCGTATTTCAGAGCGAGCTCCTGGTGTAGAATCCTGGCTACTAGATTGTGTCTATGCAAATACTCAGAGTTAGATAGCGCCGAACAACCGGAGATGACATGCCTAAGTGACTCACCGGGATGGCGACAAGCTCGACAGATGTCGACGGCGCCATCCTTTAGGATGCATCTCCGATAATTGTTGGTCTTAATAACCTGATCCTGTATCGCACAGACAAAACCCTCGGTTTCCCCAAAGAGGTCACCGAAACGTAGCCAGTGAAGGGAGGCGACTGTGTCTACGAAAGGCTCATGTAGAGCCTTGTAGAACCTCCCGTGGAGCTCCTTCTCCTTCCATACGGCCTCCCGGTCGGAAATGCACTGTACTGCTGGGTCTTGCCATTGCTCGTTGGCTAAGGATAGAGGGGTCAGTCTTTTATCACTCGAAATAACGTCCCTATAGTATGGATTATCCGCTCTCGTCAGAAAGTAATTACGGAGGCTGCACACTTCGCGATTATGCATGGTAAGCGCGCTTAAAAAGCCGCGCCCACCATGCTTCCGCGGCAAGTATAGCCTCATTACTGACGATGTCGGATTATGCATCCTGTGGGACGTCATTATTGTGCGGACTTTTCTGTCCAGAGCATTTAGTTCGGTCTGAGTCCACCTAAGTATGCCAAAGGTATACATGAGAACAGACATGACCCAACCGTTATATGCGTGCATCTTATTCACACCGGACAAAAGGCTGTTAAGCACTTTGGTCAAGCGTGCATAAAACACATCGCAAACTGACTGTTTCATACCCGCCTCATCAACACCGATGTTCTGTGACATACCCAGGTATCGGTATGTTTCAGCCTCGGAAGGGGTCCTTATGTTGATGGGCATAGATAAATCTATGCCCTCAGAGTTAGCAACCCTTCCCCTTTCAACATGGAGGACCGCACACTTATCCGTCCCCAGCCCCATTCCAGTAGAATTGCTAAAATCACAAGTGATGTTTAGCAATTCCACAAGATGAGAGCGACTGGAGGCGAATAACTTGAGATCATCCATATAGAAAAGGTGGGTCACTTTTGTACCTCCCCTCCGAAGCTGAAATCCCCTCCCGGAGCCCTCCAGTAAGGTACTGAGAGGGTTCAGACAGAGGCAGAACCAGATTGGACTCAGACAATCGCCCTGGAAGATACCCCTTCTTATCCTTATGTGGTTCTCCGCAGCCGTCATCCGCTCGCCTAGATGACAAAGGATCGTACTCCACTGCCCTATACACTGCCCGAGGAAGTCTCTAACTGTACAGTCAACCTTGTACAGCTCGAGGACCCTCTTCAGCTATTTATGAGGCACCGAGTCGAATGCCTTTTTGTAGTCTATCCAGTTGGCGCATAGGTTCCGACGGTTGCGTTTAACCACTTTGCCAATGACCGCGTCAATGAGGAGTGGTTCCTTGGTTCCACGACCACCACCCCGACATCCATTTTGAGCGCGCGACATTGTTATTATTATTACATTATCACATATATATTGTCACAAAACTATAATACTATAAATATAAATACAATCTATATAAATAATATTATTATTTCGGCTATTATCCACCGCGGCGAGGAATCCTAAGCCATCGGTGAAATTAGGCATCCAAAGATAGGAACCTTCTCACTATTCGAGCCGTATTTAATAAGGCTGATTTTTGAATTAATCCCTTCAGCCATTTGCCCAAACCCAACTTGGATAGATAGTCGTCCATAGTTTTACCAATAAGCCCATTGACTGAAACAACTATTGGTACAATAATAGTAGAATCAACGTCCCACATAGCGACAATCTCATGAGCCAAGTCGATATATTTTATCTTTTTATCATTCTCTGCTTTCACGAGATTCTCGTCATGAGGAACACTGACATCCACTTTTATTGCCTTGCGTGCAGTTCGGTCTATCACCACAATGTCAGGTTTATTTGCCACTATAAACCTGTCTGTGATAATTGACCGATCCCAGTACAGCGTGACACTTCTATTTTCAAGGACTGGTTTTGGTTCATACTTATAATATGGAACGTCCTGTTGAGTATAACCAAATTTAATCGCAAGCTGCTGGTGTATTATTCTAGCTACTTGGTTATGTCTGTGCAAATACTCGCCATTTGATAGTTGTGAACAACCGGAAATAACATGTCTGAGGGACTCTCCAGGGTGGTAACATGCGCGACATACGTCAACTGTGCCATCCCTCAAAATGTACTTCCGGTAGTTATTCGTTTTAATTACTTCGTCTTGTATTGCACAGATAAACCCTTCAGTTTCTGCAAAAAGGTCACCAAACTGTAACCAATGTACTGATGCAACCATGTCTACACAAGGATTAGTCAATGTTTTAAAAAATCGACCATGCAGTTGTTTGTCATTCCAAACCTTTTTGCGTTCATCTATAGTCATAGTATGAGGCCTCTGCCAGTCCTTTGCCGACATATTAAGCGGGGTTAATGATTTGTCATTAATCACTACGTCACTATGAATGCGTGATGTGTCTTTTTTTTTAATAAAATAGTCTCTGAGGTTGTATACTTCACGGTTGTGTAGGTTTTTAATGTTTAATAAGCCCCGTCCACCATCTTTTCTTGGAAGATACAACCTCATGACAGATGATCGCGGGTGGTGCATTCTGTGCGTAGTCATTAATGTGCGGACTCGTCTATCTAAGTCATCCAATTCCGTTTGAGACCATCTTGTAATACCAAAAGTATATAGAAGGCTAGGTATTACCCAGGAGTTATATGCTCTAATTTTGTTTCCGCCAGATAAATGACTTTTGATAACTTTTTTTAATCTTGACATAAATTTTACTTTTGAATTTTCTTTAATGTTTTTGTCATTAATTCCTAGCGCTTCTGCCATGCCTAAGTATTTATAGGTTTCTGTCTCAGAAAGAGAACTGAAATGTAAGTCATCTGTAATTGCAAAATTATTACAATCTTTAATTTTGCCCCTATTTACGTTTATGACAGCACATTTATCTATTCCAAATTCCATTCTAATATCATTGTTGAAACTATGTGTTAATTTCAACAATAATAATAGATCACTCTCTTTTGATGTGAATAGCTTGAGATCATCCATGTAAAGTAGATGTGAGATGGGTGAGTTTTCTTTTCGAAACCGAAATCCTAATCCAGATTCCTCAATAACAGTGCTTAAAGGATTCAGGGCTAAACAAAACCAAGTTGGGCTCAAACTATCGCCCTGGAATATACCCCGCTTAATATTTATAGAGTCTATCGAACTACTTTGCCACTTACCTGGTAGATTTAGGATAGTGTTCCACTGACCCATTAATTTACTTAAAAACTTACAAATTTTGTCATCTATTTTATATATTTCTAAAACTCTCTTTAGCCATGAATGTGGAACAGAGTCATATGCCTTATTGTAATCCACCCAAGCAGCGGACATATTTTTGCGATTACGAAAAACTTGTCGGCAAATAGCTGTGTCAATGAGAAGAAGTTCTTTACAATCACGTGACCCTTTCCGACATCCGTTCTGTGCGGTTGACAGAATGTTATTATTTTCCAAATGTTTATAGATCTTGTTATTTAAAATTGCAGTTATTAATTTGTATACAGTTGAAAGGCATGTTATAGGTCGGTAATTTTTAGGTTCCGTGGTGTTTCCATTTTTATATAGTAAGTGGGTAATACCAGTTGTAAGAAGTCTCGGGAGCTCACAGCACTCAATGGCTTCTTGAATATGTGCAGCCAAACGCACATGGCTACTTGTTATCCATTTCAGCCAAAAGTTGTGTATACCATCTGGTCCAGGTGATTTCCAATTGTGTAATCTACGAGTAATTGAGTATACATCTTCAGCAGTAATTGAGATAGAACCCATGTTAGCCAAATTAGAAAACTTACGTTCGGTTGCACGAATCCATTCGCCTTCATTATGAGAAACTTCATTAGACCACATATTTTTCCAAAATTTAGACATTCAATTAAGCTTGGGCTGTCATGAGTACAACTATTAGTTGTAGTGTTCTCCCAAGACCGATACACCCACTTTTGATTACTTTCGAATGTGCGATTTTGGAAGTACCGTTTAGACCTTTCTGAATATCGTCTAATACGGCTGGCCCATGCTTTAACTTTTGTTTTTGCGAATCAATGTACTCAGTAATTTTATCCGGAAAATGGGGATCTAAATGGCTAATATTATTTTCATTAGAGATTTGATTTACTAAAGTAATTATTTTTTATTATTATACTAGTAGTTATTATAATTATTATTATACTAGTAAACTACCGACGTAAGCACTAACTTGCTTGCTTTAATTGAGAAACAGTAATAAAATAATATTTCCGGTAAAGAAGGCACCATTTATTTTTATTTCTTTTAAAAAATATCTTTTCTTACATTCGGTAAAATAATATAGTAATTGAAACCATAGGTCCCTAATATAAGGATATAATAAATATAAAATGTACAAATTTAATATGTGGTCTGTATGCTACGGTTGTCAACGATGTGATAGTGGGGCCGTCGTCGTTTGTGCAAACCGGTTCTGGTGTGGCTGCAAAAAGGTTTACCTACAATTATTACAATTTTAGATAAAAAAATCTAAAAGTATAATAAACCGCGAAACCAAAATTTGGACAACATTTTTAAAGAAAAACAAATAATTTACGTTAAAGAGAAGAAACTAGTGAAATATTTATGTTGGAAAACAATATTTAACGCAATATGAAGTCTTACCTTGCAATTATTTCTTATATTTACGCGAACACTACACATTAAATGAAACTAACTTTACGGATTCTATCGCGTTTAATTAAACTTTTGTAATTCCCGCCGTTTCATTTTACACTACCTTAATTCCATAAACTCTAAAACGCAATGCACGATGGAGTTAGAAGTAAACAATTCTTTAGCTTTTCTAGATGTTTTAGTCATCCGTAATCCTGATAACACTATTGGTCACAATGTGAATAGGAAAAAAAAACCCTTACCAACCGATATTTAAACGGTGAGTCTCACCACCATCCATCATAGTTAGCTACTGTGGGTAAATCTTTGTTTCAGAGAGCACGAGGGATCTGTGACAGTAAACACCTAGCCGCCGAGCTCCAACACGTCAAACGAGTTTTGCACGACAATAAGCTTTGGATCCCGCGCCTACGTCACAGTGAACGAGTGAAGCTGGTCATGGTGGAGCGTGTGCCTGTTGTACTACCATACGTCAGAGAAGTCACAGACAAGATTAGCTACATCTTGAAGCGAGCTTTCATTAAAACCTACTACAAGCCTCCGTAGAAGATTATAAAATTTTTCCCATCTATCAAGAATCATGTTCCTCTACAAGATGCAGTAGTGTACAAGCTAGATTATGAATGTGGTCTCCCTGAAACCCGCGTAAAAGAACATATAGCTGACTTGAAGCACTGACGTTCCGGGAAGTCTGCAGTCTGTGAACATGTTCAAGATCATTCCCACCATTACGTTAGATTTTATAGACCACAAATCCTCGCAAAAGTACACCGATTCCTACCCAGGATGATTCGCGAGGCTATTACAATTTTAAAAAAACATAGAGAAGATGGATAAGTGCTGCAATTGTTCTTTTTAGTCGCCTCCAATCCGAGACTTTATTCAGCAAAGACTCGACTTCAGACACAAGTTTGTTCCGGTACTCGGCGACGTTTTACCTAGAAATATTGGCACGGCCGGTGTATAGAGCATCACCAGTGCTATCATCCGCATAGTAATGAATGTTACCAGTTAGCAACATATCATTGATATGCAGAAGAAACAGCGTTGGTGATAGCACACAGCCTTGTGGAACACCAGCGTTAATAGGCTTGTAGTCGGTGCATGCACCGTCTACAACGACCTTGATGCTCCGATCTGCAAGGAAGGTGGTGATCCAATCGCACAATTACGCGGGAAGCCCATAGGAAGGGAGCTTCGAAAGAAGCGCTTTGTGCCAAACCCGATCGAAGACCTTCGCAATGTCCAAACTAACGGCCAACGCCTCCCGCTTGGACTATACTGCCTCTGCCCATCTATGGGTCAGGTAGACCAGAAGATCACCAGCAGACCGACCCCGACGGAAACCGTATTGGCGGTCACTAATCAGCTGGTGATCCTCAAGCTACCGCATGAGCTGGCAACTAATAATTGATTCCATTATTTTGTCTGAGCGGTCTGAGTGGTCGCTTTTTAGGGATCGTATGGACAAAAGCTGTCTTCCATGAATTCGGAACTACGCCTAGGGAGTAGGAGTACCGGAAAAGATGCGTAAGGACCGGTGCCAACTGCGGAGCACACGTCCTCAGCACAATTGGGTGGATTCCGTTAGGCCCACTCGACTTCTGGATGTCCAGGGAGAGGAGTGTTTTGCGAACCGAGCGCTGTGAGAACAGCACATCCGGCATGGAGCAGTCACACCGTAGGATGGTAGGCGGTGTTTCCCCCCGTCATCAAGAGTCGAGTTGGACGTAAAAATGGAGCCTAAAAGATCGGCTTTGTCTTTTGCGTCTTGGGCCAGTGAGTCGTCCTCCCTGTGCAAAGATGGTAGTGATGGCTTACAGGAATTCCCTTGGATAGCCTTATCGAGAGACCAGAATGCACGGGTTCCCGAAGGAAGGCGAACTAATTTCTCGCCAGTTCTGCCTTTGTGCCTGACTTTGCCTTGGCAATAACTCTTCTGAAGGACCTGGAGGTGAAGTTACACTTCTTTTTAATCATGCTGGTGTTTACATCCCGAGTCGCCGAAGCCGCAGGCCAGGCTTGATAACACTCGTGCTTACTGCGTAATGCAGTCTTACATGAGCAACCAAACCAAGGCTGAACCACAGATGATGGAATAAATAGTTCCATTCCCTGTAGCACTACATCAGTGACAGAGTCAGAAACAGTCCAATTTGTACCCCGGGTAGGAGAGATACGAAATATCAGCCGGAGAGGAAACCTGCATCTCGGTCAGAAAGAGCAAGGCCGGCTTCGCCGTCTCGAGATGGTAGTAGGCGGCGTTTAGGTTCGAGTGAAGTCCCCTGATGTTGCAGAAATTAACGGATAGTGTGGCAGGGGTCGCCTTGGTCTTGTTGGTCAGTTTGTTCCGAGCAGTTATGTTTTTGAGCGGAATTTTGCCCCCCTCAGAATACGCGGTGCAGGCTGATCACCCACGCTCAGGAGTGGAATAACATGGTCGTGGATGCTCAGCGAGGGATTCTCCAGGGGTGCTGGTACCCTCCTGGGGTAGTCTAACGTGTAATTCCGCTACCATGTTGATGGGGGGGGGGGGGAATTGGACCTCCGACCACCTGCACTCACCAGACGAAACGCAGAAGCGGAGCTTCTACTTCAAGCCGGTATTCTGTGAGGTCGTGGTATCAACCCGGCTCGAGCCGGCCCATCCGTGCAACAACAAAAACTGCCGCGTGGCTCTACCACTGTTAAACCTTTGGTATTATCAGGATTTCTTATGACTAACACATCTAGGAAAGCTAAAGAATTATTTGCCTCTAACTCCACAGTAAATTGAATATTAGAATTTATGGAATTAAGATGTTCTAAAAATGCAGTTACTTTGTCTGATGGTAAAATTGTGAAAGTATCGTCTACGTACCGCTTGTAGAAACTTGGAGTTACTGATGCAGTAAGCAGGGCTTTCTCCTCAAAGTCCTCCATGAAAATATCGGCGACAATGGGAGATACTGGTGAGCCCATCGCAACACCATCTACTTGCTTGTAAAACTGTTCCTTCCACAATAGATATGTGTGTGTGTATTTGTTTGTTTATTCGTTTTTTATAGGCCCATTTACTACTGCAACGCATGTCGGCTATAGCTAGTTAAAAATACCAAAACGAGGGTTATTCCGTAAACGCACGATAACGCTACTAAATATAATAACACAAACGAAGCCACACAAACGACTCCTAGTCATTACATAATATAATATACACCCTTATGAATACAAGAAACATTACCTGACGCTAACATAACCCGAGTTACCACAATTAATCATTCGTTAATTCTCTATACAAATATAATTCCGTAGTACTTAGCTAACATAATAATACATGTATGGTGCTTCACAAATTTGAAAGGTTTTGCTTGTAACCCATTTAAGCGACGAGATGAAAATATAACAACGTAATGTGAATTTGAATAAAGGATGAACTCAAAGTCATGCCACGGAATCCCACCGTACAAGAGCAACTTAATGCTAAGCCATAGACTTCGAATATACCTTCAATAGACTTAGTTTATGTGCCAAGCTAATTTTGACGGCTCTGTGGCGCAGTGGCTTTGCAACGAGTTGCGCCGTTGAGAGCCGTGGGTTCGAATTCATTACGAAACAAGTATTTGTATGGCCTACAAATAATTGTTTTGAGTCTGTATGTTTATCCTTGCAAAATTGATAGTGTGGGGTAACGTTTTCTTTTTTTTTTTAATTAAAAAGAACCAATGCCGATGTAATTTGGAGAGCCATTTTAATGGTAACAAGACATTCTTAGTCCTCAGTTGTGACAACGCATCTACATTTAACTCTTAATCGTAAATAGGTGTCTATTAGTGACAGCATCCACTTACTTTATTTATTTTGTGCTCGTTTGTCACCCTTATTCCATAAAAATAAGGTAAATAAAGATTTCGTGACTTCAAGCGAATACTATATATTGAATTAAATTAATTTTGCGAATTCTGTCTCATTTTTTGGCTTATTTTGATAATCTCGACACTTTGAGTGCTTTACTCCACTGGGAAAGAGATAAGTGGCGTTTTGACATCAACCCACGCTACTTTCAGCTTTTACTCGCGTGTTTTCACTTCTGTGTAAAATTTTTGAACACTTAAAATTACAGCAAATCTTAAAGATATCTATTCCCGAATATAAAAAAAATTCCTAGGTCCTACTTTACTTATTTGGCATTAACATCATCATCAGCCCGTAAAGATTCCACTTCT